AACTTCTAAAAAACTTAAGATTCCACTCCTTTGGAAAGGAAATCACTGATGCTGATATATTGCAATGGGCAAATAACAAAGTCAGAAGTTCTGGAAGCCAGTGTCGCATGGATAGTTTTAAGGTACTGTTTCTCTATACATGGTTCTTTTTGAAAGACCTTAGATTCCAATATTTCAATTATCTCAGATAGTCAGATTAGTGCTGATTAGAGCTTTTGGATGCAAAGTTATGATTATTTTTTTAGAAGTGCACATGATTATTAAGTTTTAAATGATGAAGTTTGATTATTTCTTCTTCTTTTTTTTTTTTTCTTATCCAAAGTTTAATTATTTGTTTACTCGTTCTCTTTTGTTCACGGGGATGTTTTTTACTATATTTTAATCATAAACTTTCAACATATTGTATTAGTTTTGGAACATTACACAAAAAGAACAATTTAGTGGCTAGCAAGTTAGCATTAACAAATTTTTTATTCAGAGTTTTAATGAATGTATACCCAGACAAATGTTTATAGTACATTAGGTTAAGTGTTAGGTTCTAAAACAATTTTGATTTTTGAACAATTAATGAAATTTACCACCTTAGATAGCATTTAAAAATTGAGGGGCTAATAAATATATAGTATGGAAGTACAAATACTAAACTACGATTGAAACATTAATTGTTTTCAATGAACAAACCTCTGATCCTTTCTCTTGAAAATAAAAAAAGTTCAAAGATATTTTGATTTAATGCCGTTATTGATGATACTCAATCATTTATTCTTATATTCATAATATGCAATCTACAGGACAAAAGTTTGTCGAATGGAACATTTTTCCTGGAGCTTCTTAGTTCGGTGCAGCCAAGAGTTGTCAATTGGAGTCTTGTTACCAAAGGAATCACCGGTATGCTATTGCTTTTATGATGCATTATTTTACATAGTAAATAAAAATGAATCTTTTGTAACTTTTTGCTATCTAAAATACGACAAAGATTTTATGTTTTACAAATGAATTTGTTTTTTAAAGTTAGTAATTTTAAAACAAATAAATTTGTTTTTCAAAGTGGAAAGAAAAACCACAAAATGATGATCAAACGTGAACTTCTCTATCAACACTAAGGTTTGATTTATACAGCTGTTCAAATTCATGACAGAAAACATTCTGTAGATATCTTTTAAAGTTAGTAATTTTAAATTCGAAAAGTTGTTTGATAATATATTAAGGAAAAGACATCCCCACGTGTCCACCAATTTTCTAATATTTTGCTCTTTTCCTTTAATCATCACGACCATAGACGAGGAGAAAAGGATGAACGCAACTTACATCATTAGCATTGCGAGGAAGCTTGGATGTTCCATATTTTTGCTTCCTGAAGACATCACTGAGGTACTCAACTGAACCTTTTCTTTTAACTCATGAAGGAACAACTATTGCCGAAGTAATAATCACATCAAAATCTCGAAATTTGTTGAACCAAAAAAAAAAAAAGAAAAAAAAAATGAGTGGTCGGAACCCAATATAATATATTTAAAAAATACTTTATAAACGAGAATATATTTTTGTTATAATATTATATTCACTAGTTACCAACAATGTTATTAACATTAGGATATTAACCTTAACAAACTATTAAAAGAATGAAGTGAAATACTTTATAAACGAGAATATATTTTTGTTTAATATTTTAGATAAATATGGTTTAAATAATTTTCTTTGTAGGATTTAAAAGTTGTTGGGTGAAATCTCCCACCATCTCTCTACAATTACCAGATGTTAATATAGAATTAGTATTGAATTTTTTGTTTGTGTACTATTATTAGGTGAATCAAAAGATGATCCTCACCTTAACTGCAAGTATCATGTATTGGTTCTTGAAACAACGGGGCGATGATAAAGCATCGGTGTGTTCAGATAGCGAAAACAGCATCCAATCAGAGGTCATTTCCACTTCCACAACAGATGACTCAGCCTCCGAGTCATCAGCAGATGAAAATGGTAATATCTAAACAAAAAAGAGAGTAGGCCGAATTCCAATGATGATTACATTTTTTTAGTTGTTTAATTTTCAATTGGAATTTGTGATTGCAAAGGAATATGTGTAGTGGCAAATGGGTAATTATAGGAAGAAAACCAAAGTGTTTTTTAAAAGGAAATTTTTTCTGCTTGCTACAGAAGCTGTGATCTGTGAATAGTTTTTTAGTTCCCTCCCCCAACGGTTATTTTTCTACAAATCTTTGCATTTTGAATGCTTCTTCTTTGTTTGGGTTCTTCACCCATACTGTATCTCTATTATTATTGCATTTTCTTGTACGATCTCTACCTTTTTTTTTTTTTCCTTTATATATATGTATATATATATTATATTGCAATCGAGGTGACTCCAAAGGTGTCAAGTTAGCTTGAATTTTATGTGTTTTATAGATTGTTATCTTTGAGTAAATGAAGGGTATATGAATTTTCTGTGTTATAGATTGTGACACTCAGTAAATGAAAGGTACATGTGTTATACATTGCGATGCTCGAGTAAATGAAGAGTACACAAATTTTGTGTTATAGATTGGGACGCTTGATTAAATGAAGAGTACATGAATTTTATGTGTTATAGATTGTGATGCTCGAGTAAATGAAGGGCGCATGAATTTTATATGTTATAGATTGTGACGCTGTTATAGATTGTGATGCTCGAGTAAATGAAGGGCGCATGAATTTTATATGTTATAGATTGTGACGCTCGTATAGATTGTGATGCTCGAGTAAATGAAGNGCGCATGAATTTTATATGTTATAGATTGTGACGCTCGAGTAAATGAAGGGCGCATGAATTTTATATGTTATAGATTGTGATGCTCGAGTAAATGAAGGGCGCATGAATTTTATATGTTATAGATTGTGACGCTCGAGTAAATGAAGGGCGCATGAATTTTATATGTTATAGATTGTGATGCTCGAGTAAATGAAGGGCGCATGAATTTTATATGTTATAGATTGTGACGCTCGAGTAAATGAAGGGCGCATGAATTTTATATGTTATAGATTGTGATGCTCGAGTAAATGAAGAGTACATGAATTTTATATTCTATAGATTATGACGTCCGAGTAAATGAAGGGTACATAGATAACTAAAATTATATTCATAACGAGATTGATTCTAGTAATATAAAATTATGTTTAAATTTTTTTTTAATACAATTGATAGTTGCTACCATGTACATTAACCCTTTCAGTGAAAATTGTTCTAAAAATTTATTTAAAAAGTACTCGATGAAACATGCTAAAAAGACCTGTTGAGACTATTAAGGAATGATTCTCGATTTCAAATTTTAGTTCCAATCTTGGATATGGGATATTTAACCCCTTTTAAATAAAAGTTTGAAAGTATTAAAATTAAAACCACATATGTAATATTTTATTGATATTTTTGTTATATTCATCGACCTTTTCATGATCTAATGGAAATAATGATTTACCATTTATATCGATATCAAACTACGAGATATATATATAAATCTTCAACTTTTTCAGCCCACTCGCTTCATAATTCATAATTATTTATAAAAGAACAATAAAAAAATATCAACGAACTTTAATCCAATCTAACCAAACCTAACCACAATCACACAATGAAAATTAATTTGTAAGACCTCCATAGAAGATAAGCATTATTTGCATCATACAGTCCCTGGACATATTCATATTTATACATCCAACCCAACTTTAAGCATTATTTGCATCAAACACCACGATTTTGTCTAAAATTTGTCTCATCCATAAAACACATTACTGTTGAATTAATGCCCAACATGTTTAGCAAAATTACAACAATAACATCATGACACATAAGAGAAGAGAAAATGAAAGAGAGAGAGAGAGAGATTTCATCACTTCACGTTTGGTGGAGTTGTTGAGCAGTCAAGCCTTTTAGCCACATAGAGATGAACATCACACAAGTCTTGATATAGACTTCACAGTCAAATAAAGAAGCAAAAAATTAACACTTCCATGCTTTTTGGGCATGAATTCATTACTTTTTTTAACCTCAAACCCTTTACAAGTGCATCTATTCAGGCTACGTGTCGGGTTTTCTATTGGTTGAGAATTTTCAAACTTTCATCTATTTTATTCATCGAACCCTATATTTTAAAAAGAATTCAATAAAGTTTTCGAACAGGTTAAAAATCAACTCAACATGTAAACAGTGAATTGATACAATCAAAAGTATCTCTATCATAAGATACAAACTTTTAAGTCATAAACTGATTCAAATGAATCTACCATGAAAGTTCAACACTAAGCACGTTCAAAAGAAGCATTAATTTAAGTCTTATCACTAAAAACACCTTCTTAGTATGGTATAACTAGCGGTTTTATAACATTGGATGTAGAAGAGAGAAACTAAAACATGTGGTTTAGAGGGGAAAGAGGGCAGTGAGGACACAAAACCCTGAAGCGGGTGGATTGTGAGATCCTACATTGGTTGAAGAAGGGAACAAAGCATCTTTTATAAGAGTGTGGAAACCTCTCCCTAGCAGACGCATTTTAAAAATCTTGAAAGGAAACTCGAAAGGAAAAGCTCAGATATGATAATATCTACTAGCAGTAAATTTGGGATGTTACACAGCACCTCTAATTGACCTAGTCCTCTATCTGGGTAGGTCTATCACCAAAGAAAAAGGCTCAACAGCATTCAAACACTACGGTAAAATACCATTTTCATAGCCAAGCAAGCCATTGAGTATCACTAAGTTACCCATTTTCATAGTCAAACAAGCGATTGACTATCACTTTGTTACCCATTTTCATAGTCAAGCAAGCCATTGAGTATCACTTTGCATGCAAACAAACAAATAAACAAAGGAAGGAAGTAAAAGGTAGAAAATGAGCACAAAACCTACTGCTTATATCAAGTTTCAGACATCTATCACAGAAAATGTTTTACTAATGCTGACAAGAATGACAATTCCCATTGCAACACTGATATGAGATTATAGAACTCAGTGGAAAACGAGAAATTGGTATAAAACCAAGAAAACACTCTATTCTTGACATGTTTATTGCAGAGAACTTGCATTTCAGACAAAAAAAGAAACAAAATCATTACAGCCACTAATAATAACAATAATGATAATATTCACAACAATACACCAAAATTTCTGAAGATTATTGAATAGAAATGTGTAGATTTTTCACCTGAACTCCACCTACCTGGCTGCAATCTCCCCCCAAACAAAAATTTCTACGAACCAAATGTGCTTCTTCTTCCCCTTCTTCCTTCCTTTCCAATTCATCACACAAACCAGAAATTCTCAGACTCTGACTCTGCTCTGAATGATATGTGTAAAGAACCATAATATATATGCTTTGATGACATATACAATGAATAGCAGGATTCCTCCCTCCTTTGAGCCTTTTTCCCTTTTGTTTCAGTGGCAATTTCAAGCCACTTTCACTGAACCTGACTCAACAAATTGGTTCCCAATTTTCCTGTGTTGATTCTGCATATGAATCAAATTGAATCAAATTCCAAAGCTCTAAAAAATTGAATCAAATTGAAACCAAACAACCATACAATATATGATACAGTAATGAAAGAGAGAAAGGAGAAAATGAAGAACTAGATCAAGACCTTGGAAGCCGAAACGCATTCGGGAGGGGTTTCGAAGAGGGACTGAGAGAATTGCTTGAAAACAACACCAACGTCAAAATAAATAACACCGGAGCTCGGAATGTCGACGCGAATGCCCTTAACAGGAAACCACAAGAAGAGATCCTGAGCCGAAATCCCCGACAAGGCACCGATCTGACCATAACTCAAAGTGCCCGTAACATTGGTCTCGTAATGCAGCTGATTCTCGAACATCGCATTACACTCCCGATCCAAGAACACCACGAACCGCCCACTCTCCTCATGGAATTCGTAATCCCTAATACCTTTGGGAAGTAGACCCTTGGGTAGACCGTGAGCTGAAAGAACATCGTAAATGGACTTCAAATCAGAGGTGACGACTACACGAGGCTCCGCCGCCATTGAAGGGGTGAAGTAGAGGAAAAAGAACAAGAGGAAGAGCATGGCGATGGAGGAAAAAGGAGAAATCGAAGATGAATAGTGGAGAAATTGAGAGAAATTTGAAGTAGATTAGCAATGGGGATTGAAAGTGAGAGCAGAGGAAGAAGAAGAAGAAGAAGAAGAAGAATGGTGGATTTCAATTATTGGCGAAGAGTGAGAGAGAAGGGTGGGGTCGTCATTACAACAATTCTTCAATTATGAATATATATATATATATATATATATATATATCTGTTCGCTATAACTCCAAATTCTACGCCATTGTATTGTGTTCTGTTCTAACTAACATGATATGTCGAGCTTTAATATTTATATAATTTGTTTTTGAATTATTAAAATTTTAAATTTAAATAAAAAAAATTAAAATATTTTTTTATGTGTGAAAAAAATTATTCTTGCATTTTTTTAGAAAAATACTTTTAATAAAAAAAAAATTATATCTTATTTTTTAATTTTATAAGTACTTAAATAATAAAATTGTTTGGTCGCACTATATTCAAAATTAATTTTTTTTATTTAAAAATGATTCTATTAATTATAAGTCTGCTTATTTTCCTTATTTCCTATTTTGAGATTTTTGGGTTAATCATTTTAATTTCTTTTTTATAATTTAAAAAAATGGATGCATTTTTTAAGTATTTTTATTTATTAAAATAAAATAATTATGTCCGTTCATATAAGACAATTTTCTAACGAAACTTAAAATGTAATGAATCGTGCTCGGAATTCATACTAAAATTTGGGATCCAAATACCTAATGACTTTGACATTTTTCTGTCTCCTTTTTTTTTATTTGAAAAAAATATTTATTTTATCCAAATTTAATAATAAAAATTACAAACAATTTGTGTTTGACTTGCTAATTTTTCGTTATTTTATTTTTATTCATTTGGAAAATAAAATTTTACCTATTGGCTTATATTTTATTAAAAAAATAAATGCCAAATTCATTTTTATACCCAAAAAAGTCAATAATTATTAATTGGAGACGCAATATATTGCTTTCCTTTTACATTTTCATGTGTTTTTTTTTTTAATATATTTGAATAATACTATTAATAAATATTAATCTTAAAATATGAATGTGTTAAAAATAAATTATTTATTTTATTTTCATTATTTGAAATGTAAGAAGTATATAAAAACAAATAAATGAATGAATCTAATGGTTTTTTTTAAATATTATTGATATATTTTAAATTTTAAAAAAATAAAAATAAAATAAAAATTGTTACTTTTTATTTAAATATTAATTATATAACATACATTTAAAAAAATAAAAAATTTATCCAAAGTTTAGGGATATTTTAAATAATGCAACAAAAAAAGAATAGTAATGATAAATAAAAAATTATCAAAAAAATTATTATTAATTTAAATGTTGTCATAATAAAAAATAATGGATAATTGTATCACATTTCATTAATATTTTTATAAAACCTTTTTATTTTAAAAAAATCAATTAAAATTGAAAAATAAGAATTTTAAGAGGAGGGAGATGAAGAGTGGCGCGTGGAAGATGGACTAGAGTGGAATTAGCTGGACTCCACCGATGATGCCAACTGGCACTCGTCTGGAAAATTGACAAATATTAACATGACGCGCGACATGTCAGCGCGTGGAAAATGAGATCCAAATGCCAGATAAGCATTGTTGAAAAAGCTTCGTGGCCCTTATCGCCATGCTTATCCTATTAGGATGATCTTAAGGAACCAAACAAACAAATTAACATCACAATTATTATTTTTCCTTTTTTTTTTTTTTCTATTTAAGTTCATTTTTAGCCATTCCAAATTTTTAACGATTTAATCCCAGACGTGTATCACCAATTATTTTTAGGCTATATTCACCGCTATCATAGACTAAATGATCATAACTTTAAGTCGGATGTGGTCACATTATGATCCTAGTCACCAGATCACTGTTTCATATCCAATTATGGTCACATTCTCGATTGTGTCGTGTAGTCTATGTCTTTTCAGTCGGATGTGGTATGGGGGTCATTCATGTGAGATCCCAATCGGTTGGAGAAGATGACGAAACATTTCTTATAAGAGTATGGAAACCTCTCCCTAGTATACGCATTTTAAAACTGAGGCTCTAACAACAGTATATAATGGGTCGAAGTGAACAATATCTAATAGCGGTGGGGTGGGTCGTTATAGTCCATTCATAATCATACCATGCAATTAATTACTCAAATCCAAAACAAATCTCAAGAGATAAAAGGGAAATAGACAAGAAAGGTGGCAAAAGGATTGAAGTTTGGAGGCTTTTAATTATTTATCATCAATAATTAATATAGTTTTGTCTTATCATATAATAATAATAATTGTAGGGGTAGTACTAATAATTAATAATAATAATAATAATAATAATAATGATATTTAACCGAAATATTTTTAAAATATAATTTTTTTTTAATGAAATTTTTTAAAACATATTTTATTCCCATAAACATAATCCATAATTTAAGATTAGGGCTTCAATAATAAGTTTTATTTAAACCTCTAATATATAATTATCATTTTTATTCAATATTTTATAGAATTATTACAGTTAAAATATATATAGCTTTAGTCCTTAGAATTTACTTTATTTCTAATTTGATTTGTAAAATTTACCAAATTTATTTTAATCATCCTTCAAATATTAATAGAAATTTTATTTTATTTTATTTTTTGAATATAATTACCTAAAAAAAATTATGAAATTTCGAGCATAATTTAATCGGTCTTTTATTCAGTTATACATAATAAATAAATAATCAAAATATTTGAAGAATCGTTTAAAATATATTCCCAACAAACACAAACGGGATCATTACACAACTTTAAGTAAAATACAAACCACTGAAAAATGTAATAAAAGTTACATTATCTTCGAGCTTTGGTGAGTTAATTACCGTTTTAAACTTTTTAATTCAATTTTATTGAATCTTAATTATTTCAAATCATTTGGTTTGGAACACTTTTGATAAAAGAAAAAGAAAAACCAATGAATCATTTGGTCGGATTGGGTTGGGTTGGGTTGGTTGGGCGGGATCGAGACATTTTTTTAGACTCAATTTAATTGTCTAAGTTTTTCAACCGAAACAGCTCGTAATAAAGAATAAACGCAATTCATCTCCTATTTCAATCTCCGTCTTTTATTTGGATGTAGTCTTAATTTATTTATATACTCTTATTTTACGACACGTACTTTGAAGAATGAGACTTTAGATCCAAAGTTAAAATATATATATATATATATATATATTTCTAGTTGAAGGGAAGATATCTCGTTCTTTAACATGCTTACGTGGACCTGTCTTTTGCCAGCACGATGCTTGCTTCTCTCTCAACTTTGAAAGTTAATAACTATATATGGGCTTTAAACTTTTGCTTTTATTGGGCCTTTCTCTACTGGGCCTTTCTATATTGGGCCTCTCATTTCGGCCCTTCTCTGGTTGGCCTGTCTCGCTTGGGCCTTTCTCTAGTGGGCCTCCATATTGGGCCTCTCTTTTGGGCCTATTCAATATATACTTAAAAAATTATACTAAATTATATTTCACAAATATCAATTAACGAGATAAATAACAATTCTAATGAACAAAGTACAATTAACCAAACAAACATAAGCAGATAAAATACACATTGGCCTTAGATAACTATTGAACTAAAAAAACAAAATACTTCGATAAAATACCTAAAAACACAATTTTTTAGCAAGAGGGGCTGTTGGGGAGGCTGCACTTGACTGGCAAGGCAAGGGCAAGATCGGGGTCAATCCCGAGCGAGGGCAGCACGAGCGAGTGCTTATAGTTGCAAAAGCAACCAAAGTCAGCCTTGGATAGACCGTCGCAACAAGCGGCCGGTGGCAGCTCGGTAGGGCACGGCTTCGTCACCCACGGCTTGCACGCCGTGAGACCGTCCTGGCTCACACCGCACACGTCCATTTCGGCTAATGCCCCCGATAAACTCACTAGTATCACCATCGCCATCGCCATCGCCATCGCCGTGGTTTGAGCCATCTCTTTTGTGTTGAGTGTGTTTGTGTATGAGCGTTAAGGAGTTGAGTTGTTTATATATATGAGTTTGTTAAGAGAAAATGCATTGGCCAAGGAAGTGGAGGAGAAGGAAGAGCCACAAGTTTAGTTCCCGTGAATGTTTATTGGTACAATATGGCAATTGGGTGTCCCATAATTCAAAATATATATATATATATATATATATATATATATATATATATATATATATATATATATTAGTGAGACGGGAAATGAACCATTAATTTTTACGATAAATGTTAATATTAATTAGTTCATCAACCCAATTCAACTCGTATTATTTTGATTTGATTATATTTAAATAAATAAATAGATATTTTTCTGTCTAATATTTTCTACTTATATAAAAAATAAACATCTGGATATAACCCAATTCTAAAAATTTATGGTTGGATTAGGTTGGTTTTATTATTTAATAAGAGTTATTTATGTTAAAAAATATTTAGTTAAATATAAAAATAATTATAATTTATGATTAATTACTAATTATTTAAGTAAAAAATATATATTTATGGTTAAAAAGTCAAAATTTGAAATGGGTGAGGTAACCAAAGGCCCCGTGAAGAGAAATTTGGCTGGGCATGGGTTCACGAGAGTAACAAACAAAATAAAACCCTTTTGTTTTTATTCGGTTCCCAAATTCAATTATTATTATTATTATGGAGGAAATGGGCGATGATCCACTACAAAAGGTCACACCCTTTCAACATGGGTTCGTTGACCTAATTTTCATTATCCTTTTATTTCAAAATTGAATAAAGTCAAAAGCAAGTCAGCTTGTTCTCGACTATCCGAACAACGAGTGTTGTAGGATCGTTGATCTGAGCATAATTTCATCGATTGAAAAATCGTCATCGTAGCTTTAAGAGTTTACCGAACTTACAATTTTCAACTACTGATCTTGTGGATCTAAGATAAAGTTTGAGTATGAGTCGTTGGTGATCACACACTAGAGGGAGAAATCGCCATCGGCATAGAAAAAATGTCTGAGGCATCTACTGCTATCGCGCTCGTTAAGTTAACGTTGTGAGAGGGGAAAATAACATCATTGTTGCTCGATCTATTTACATAGATAAATACATTACATATGAGCCTAACCGAATAAGGAAAATCCATAATGATAGCTTTGAATGCATCGTGAGAAAGATCCGATCGAAACACGGAGGGTTGTGACATGAGCTGAGTCACTTTTTTATTTTTATTTTAATTTAATGTTACAATATCACAAAAATTATAAACAAATTTAAATATTTTGTATTTAACTTTTAATATATATATATATATTTATTTATTTATTTATTTATTTATTTTGATGGGACAAAAACGTCTTTGAATAGACAATATCATAACAAAATAGCACATCATCAAAAAGTGTTCGTTTTTCGAAATATTATCATAAAATTTAAAAATAAAAGTTTAAATTTTAAATTTTGAATAAAAATTTATTATTTTAATTTATTTTCCATTTTATTTTTAATATTCTTCAACTCATAATTCCCAATCTCAATAAAGTTTTTTTTTTTTTTTTTTCTAATTTTCTAAAAACAAAAGCTTCCATAAAAGCTCATAGTTAGCCCTTTGCTGAAAACAAATGATAGCCAAATGTGACATATGGCTAATGAACCCTAGCAACCATGTTTTCAATGGCTTTGGAACAATTTTTTATTATAACGACTCGAGATCGTTCCTTTTGTTTAGTAAGAGAATACGAGCATTACAAAGCGGGTTCTTGGAGCAGGGAAAGAGAGTAGTCATAGCTCTGACCGTCCTAGCCAACTTATATAACAGTCCGGTTGTTGTTGCTCAGGTTTCCACGCCCTTCCAAGGAGTTCTTTGTTCCTCTCTCTCCAACCAAAGTGGGATCTCACAATCCACCTCTATTGGGGTCAACGTCCTTGCCGGTATATCACTTGATGTCTGACTTTGATACTATTTGTAATAGATATTATTCACTTTGGCTCGTTATTTCTCGTTATTAGCTTCACGATTTTAAAACGCGTCTACTAGGAGAAAAGTTTTTATACTAATGTTTCGTTCCTCTCTCCAAAGAAGAAGAACATGTGGATTGAATGTTCCAAAAATGAAAATACTAAACAAATAGAACAAGAAGGACAAAAGTAAGAAGAAAGGCAAGGTTTGAAGAAGAGCCCTAGAGGAAAAGGACAGCCACACGATTTTAGGGCACATAAGAACAGGAGAGTAGTGAAGTGAATGCATGCTTAATAAGCTTTTAAAGGGTGGGAAGTTGGTTGATGCAGCCTTTGAATTTCCCCAAGTGTCCTAAGTGTTGACCTGTGGAAGGAGCAAAAGAGAGGGATGTCAGAGGAGAGAAGGGCACTAAATTAAATTTAGTTCACACTTAGGGGATACCCTCTCCTACAAAAATTAAGAACAGCACGAAACACCAGGGTTCTTTAGGGCACCCATGTGGTGTTCTTTTCAAAAAACTGCCATAAAAACCACAGCTTTTGTTTGAGAATGGTAGGGAAGCTAAGTACCAAACTTTATGGGTCTTTCTTATTATATTATTCTTATGTAATACTCCCCTACCGCTCGTCTACGTAACTCGAATTGTCTTAAACGCTATCAGAGCGGTGGGTTGAGAACGAACCTACGGCAAATTGGTGGGCATGTATGTTTGAGATCCCACGTCGGTTTGAGGGACGAACGAAACATTTTTTATAAATGTGGAAACTTCTTCCTAGTAGATAACACCTCTCCTTAATCGAGGCCCGGTGGGCATGTATGTTTGAGATCCCACATCGGTTTGAGTAGATAACACCTCTCCTTAATCGAGGCCCGGTGGGCATGTATGTTTGAGATCCCACATCGGTTTGAGGGACGAACGAAACATTTTTTATAAATGTGGAAACTTCTTCCTAGTAGATAACACCTCTTCTTAATCGAGATCCGGTGGGCATGTATGTTTGAGATCCCACATCTGTTTGAGGGACGAACGAAACATTTTTTATAAATGTGGAAACTTCTTCCTAGTAGATAACACCTCTCCTTAATCGAGGCCCGGTGGGCATGTATGTTTGAGATCCCACATCGGTTTGAGGGACGAACGAAACATTTTTTATAAATGTGGAAACTTCTTCCTAGTAGATAACACCTCTCCTTAATCAAGACCCGACTCCTTTGGAGTCTTTTGTTAGACGAACACGACCCTCCACAATGGTATGATATTGTCCACTTTGAGCATAAGCTCTCATGGCTTTGCTTTGAACTCCCCCAAAATGCCTCATAGAGAGAATTATTTGTTTATAAACTCATAACCATTCTCTAAATTAGCAGATGTAAGACTTTCATCATCCATCAAGTTTGAGCATAGGAACACTCAAAAAGAACAATATTTCCTCGCTGTAAGCTAAGCTCTTTCCGCATCTGACATGAATGAACTGAGCTCGCTACGTACCATGATCAACATCACGGTATCAAAACGCGTCTACTAAGAAGAGATTTCCACACCCTTATAAGTAATGTTTCATTTCTCTTTCCAATCAACATAGGATCTCACGATCCACCTCCTTAGAGGGCAGTGTCCTCGCACCTTCTTGTAATTGAAAATTATTATCTATACCAACATTGTGCACCTTCCTTTTTAGCTTTTCGGTCGCTGAATCATAATAGTAATTGAGAGTAATTCGGAGGATAGATTCCTCAATTCCGAGCGTAATTTTTTATTTTTTCTATTTAATTATTTAATTATCCAAAAAAATGCATGAATAATAAGTAATTATTGTTTTTGTAGTAGTACTAATTACATCTATTATTGCTTATACAAGTGAATATAATTATACTTCTTCCTTCTATACTCTTCTTTTTTATATGATAACTTATTATTAAAAAATCAAATATAATTCATGTTATCATCCATTTAGATCTCTAGCTTTGATGGTCAATCATTTCATCCATTTTTAATCATTTTAATCAAGAAAAAAATAATTAAAATTATTATTTATTAACTAATAAATTCAGTCGTATCACCAAGAGACTATACAGAGAATGAAGAAAGTCCATTTTGTAGGAATTGAAATGTTTGCGAGATTCGGGTCACAATTTGTATCAATTAAACAAATAGTTGGAATTCCCAACGTGATACATTCTTGAAGAGCCCGATATTACTCTTGTTGATCAACATTATTACAGTATCGGGTAACCCCGTCATATATTTAATCCCGCCTAGATATGTTTGCAAGTGAGATAATTGTCTCTTCAACATAGCAGCATCCTTTTTCGGAAGACGGTTGAGTCCCCCGTCTTTTGTTCCGTTATCCCCTCGAACCATTTTTTTATTAACATAATGATACCGAGTACTTGTTGCAGCTCAGGCTACTGAAAACTAAATCACAAGCTTATGATAAAAAAACAAGCTTTCTTTCAAAGATTTAATCACATATTATATATAATTTAACAAATATATCTCTATCAAATATTTACCATATTTAAACGGTGGACGGTGATTGAGAATTGAAAGAGAGTTGAATGGTAGGAGGAGGAAGATGAAAGAGTAAAAATCTGCACACAAAAAAAATGGTTCAGAACTGAGGCCTCTGAAGAAGGCTTAGAGGGGGAGGAGGGTATGGGTTATGACCTGCCACACTTTTGTCAGAACCTCCCCCTCATTCATTTTTTTACTTTTTACTTTTTACTTTTTTTAACTTTTTACTTCCTTTCACTTGCCCTAGTATACAAATTACCTACCTCTACAGTAAAAATCCCACCTACCATCCACTTTGGTTTGGAAAAAAATTTATTACTTTTAAGATGATGACATGCTAAAACAAATAATATCTAATAGATGTGTGCTTAAACGGTTACAAATGATATTAGAAGATTTAGACATAATATCTATTAGTAGTATTAGCCGTAGGCTTATATTGTTACAAATAGAGGGTAACAAAATGTTTATTAAAGGGGGTGGGAACAGGCTCTGATACCACTTGACACAATCGCACTTTTAAAGGCAGCGAACTAGCGATTGTGCGGCACTCACTTTCCAACGACAAGTGAGCTAAGCCAATTTGTACTTGCGTCGCCTACGGCCAAGCGACGTATGATCAAGCCTCTAGCCTCGGTTTTAAAAGAAGATTTTGGAAAACGAGGGTAGAGAGAGATTTAGAAAGAGAGATTTTTGAAAGAGACGTTATATAAGCAAGCAAGAGAGAAATAACAACGGCTTAGCATATATAACCTTGGGTAGGGAGAAGTTGACAACTAGTCATATCCTCCTATAGTACATTTTGAGGCATTTCATGTCTGGCAGGCCTAGACATGATATTTTTGAGGCGTCATACGCCCTAGAACTACAAAAGTAAAAACACTAGAATGAAAAGACATGACAAGGGTTTGGCTTGTCATAGGCATGCGGCCATGGGCAACACGCCCTGGACGAGCATGACCGTGACCTAGAAGACGCGTTTTAAAATTATAAGGCTAACGATAATATGTAATAGGTAAAAACAAAAACAATATCTATTAGGTGTAGGCTTAGATTGTTATAAAAGTATTAGAAAAGTTACACCGTGAGGTGTGCTAACGAATACATTGATCTTCAAGGGGTGAATTGTGAAATTGCACATTGGTTGGAGATGGGAATGATATATTACTTAGAAAAGTGTTGAAACTTCTCTTTAAAAAATGCATTTTAAAACTGTGGAGTTAACAATGATACGTAACGAGTTAAATCATATAATATCTACTAGCGGTGAAATGTAGAAACAAGACAAAAATTTGTGTGGGTAAAAGAAGGGGGAAGCAGCGGGAGGCGAGGTAAAAGAACACAGGGGTCGGCGTGTGGGGGCTTGTAAAAGTACTTTTCAGCGCAAGCAACCCATTCAATCCCCCGCCTACTCCCCACTGTTCTCTCATAATGTGCACCATTTAAACACTCACCTCACTGGTTTTTACCGTTTTACCGCTCACTTTCTTAACGATAAATAAAATTTACTTTTCCTGTATAGTAAAAACTTAATTACTACAAATTTTTTTAAAAATATATCTATTAATTTTGAAGTAATAAAAAAAAGAAAAAAAAAAAAAGAAAGGTAGAATATGCATGATGTTTTGTTATCACTTTTCCCAAAAAATTAAAAAAAAAAAAGAAAAAAAAACAAATTTCTTTCTCCCCTTACTCCTCTGTCCTTGTGGGGCCCACCACTGTTATTTTATTTTATTTTATTTTATTTTATTTTATTTTATTTTTCTTTTTACACCCACTTTGGATCCCTTAAAAAAAATGGCTATAAACCCCCCAATTACAATACCTTCCCTTCCAAAATTCTCAACTCTCTCTGCAAAAAAAGCTTGTTCACTTCATCAATGGAGGTTTGTATACTTCCCTTCGTCTTCGTGTTTGACTTTTTCTTCTGGTTTTTTTGACTCGTTACCATGGTTTTGGCTGCATAGGATTACGACTACCAGAGGAACTTCATCCCTACCTTCGGAAACTGGGAATGGAACGACCATCTCCCTTTCACACAGTGCTTCGAAGCTTCCAGAATCGCCGGATATCCCGATGTTCGCGATCTCTACGTCGCCGGCGATCTCTACCAAAACGACGTCGTTACTCCCGCTATGATCGTCGTTCCGCGCCCCAGGGTAACTAACTAACTCATTTACTATTTTTATTATTTATTTATTTATTTATTTATTATTATTATTATTTGTTGTGTGAATCATTTTTAGAGGACACTTTTTTCCAGCCTTAAGCATGCTTTGCCTTTTTATTTTTTCACTTTCACTTATTATAAATTAAAAAGGAAAAAAAAAATGTAAACTGCGTGATCGCCACGTGACTTTACTTGATTCCTACAGAAAAGTTGTCCCCCTAATTATTATTATTATTTTTAAAAGTTTTTGTTGAGATATTCATTATTATAGTAATTTCAAAAAACAAAATATATATATATATATAGTTCAAATATTTTAAATAATATATTTTTATTTACTCGATTATTTAATTTCTTTATTTATTCGAATAAAATTTTTAAGTTTTTAATTTTTAACAAAATTTGAAATAAATAACCTTAAAAATCAATTGAGTAACTCGAATAAAGGATGTATAATAATAAATAAATAAAAGTAAAAGTTATTTAAAATTAAAGTTAGCATTTTCATTTGGAAGTGAGCGAAAGTTAATGCTAAAGTGACAGGCGGTGAGGGAAATGGGGAAAAAAAACAGTGAACATTAAACGAAATTTAATGAAATTTTTGGAAAAAATGACAAAAAAAAAAACATTTTTGTACTAAATTAATGGTATAGTGACAAGCGGTGATGTAATAATAATAATATTATTATTTTTTATTGTGGAATTATAAAATGGTGAGTGGGGTGACGGATGAATGTGCAGAGAAAGCGTGACAGACATGGGAAGCAAGAAAAGCAGCAAAAGTGGACCGAAAGCCCTCCTCAAGTGACACTGCACCCTCCAAAGCCAATGCCCAAACCCGTCGACGAAGACTTATACAAAATCTCTCCCAATCCCTGCGCCAAGCCCAAAAAGGTCTTTTCACTTTAATGTTTTTTTTCTAACTCGTTCGGGCACTCGTAGATATAAATAATAGACGTTGGGTCAGGTCAAGTTGAGACATATTCTAGACTCAACGTTATTGTTCGAGCACTCGTAGATATAAATAATAAAGGTGTTTGTGAGTTAGGTTAGGTTAGGTTGAGACATTTTTTAAACATAACGTTATCATTCGGGTCATATTAAATAAGGACCCAACCCGACTCATCCATAGATTTTTTTGAGTATGAGTTGATTGGGTTTTCTCGAAACTAGATTATAATGTGAATTGGTTTGAAATTTTGCAGAAAAGAGGGTTGAGTTACATAACGAGCTGCTTTGTGCCAACGTGTTTGATTTGAAGACGACGAGGAAGAAAGAGCGGAATGTTCCACGGGGACGAGGAATGTATATTTGAAGAAAAAAAAAAAAAACAAACCGTACATAATGTTTTGGGATGTTTGGTTATTAGATTAATGTGATGTTTTTATGTTTTATATATATATTTTGAAGAAAAATAGATTTTCTTTTTTTTTTTTTAATTTTTAATTTTGGGAGTGTGTTTTTTGATTAGAGGAGAGAGGGGAGAGCTATTTGTACAAGGTTCTTCCATTGATTACTATGCTATGACCTATCAATGAATGTCGTTGTGCTTCTTCTTTTCTCACTCTAAATAATTTCTCTCTCTATNTACAAACTTCCTACCAAGAAATATTTTTTAAAAAGGTATGGTATCAGAGTCAGACACCGAGCAATGTGCTAGCGAGGAAGATGAGCCTCGAAAGGGAGGTGGATAAGAGGCAGGACTGTAACGCCCCAGATCCACCCCTAACAATTATTGTCCTCTTTCGACTTTCCCTTTCGGGCTTTACCTCAAGGCTTTAAAACAGGTATGCTAGAGGAATGTTTATCTTGTAACGCCCCAGATCCACCCCTAACAAATATTGTCCTCTTTCGACTTTCCCTTTTGAGATTTCCCTCAAGACTTTAAAATGGGTATGATAGAGGAATGTTTCTCTTCCCCGCAAGGCTTTAAAAACGCGTCTGCTAAAAGAATGTTTGTTCTCCTCCCCAGCGTCCTTCCTCTAATCGATGTGGGATTGTCCCAAATCCATCCCCTTTTGGGGCCCAATGTCCTTACTAGCACACCAGCGTCCTTCCTCTAATCGATGTGGGATTGCCCCAAATCCATCCCCTTTTGGGGCCTAACGTCCTTACTAGCACACCTCTTTGTGTCTACCCCTTTTCGGGGAAGAGCGAGAAGGCTGGCACATCGTCCGATGTCTAGCTCTAATACCATTTGTAAAGACCCAGATCCACCGCTAGCAGATATTGTCTTCTTTAGGCTTTCCCTTTCGGGCATCCCCTCAAGGCTTTAAAAACACATCTGTTAGGGAAAAGTTTCCACATCCTTATAAATGGTGGTTTGTTCTCCTCCCCAACCAATGTGGGACATCACAAGGACGCTGGACTCCGATAGGGATATTAGAGTCATTTTTTGGCTATCTTCCTCTAAAACAACAGCTCGAACGAACAAATGAACGGGATAGCTTCAAACCATTAGAAAATGACAGGGGAGCTTATTTTGAATTGAAAAGTAAAGAATTATTGTTTTGTTTTAGGGTTTATGTTGTTGGATTCAAAAACATGTTTGTTGCAAATTTCCAAGTGAATTCCAAATTCACTTTGTCTCTTTCCTTTTATTCATTTGTCACTTTCTCTTATTCCTTTTAGGTTTCTTACAAACAGTAAGTATATTCTCCTCTTTTGTCCGCTCAGAATTTTAAGGTAAAAAACAAACGTAAAGCTGTAAAAATAAAATCAAAATCCACCCAATGTAAAAAAAAAACAAGAATCATTATCATTTTGTTTCAAATTTTCAATAATTTTTCATTTCGCATCAACCTTTTTACCAAAGGTTTTTACTTTATTTTATCAAATATAGCTCGTTGGAAGATTATGATCGTATGATACTAATCAAAATCTTCACGATTTCTATAACTCATCCAGAAATATACGAGGTGAAATTGAATAAATAGCATTCTTTGACATTTTTTTGCACTTTTATATGTTCTAAATTATTAAAACATGTTCTTCGACATATAATGTATCAACTAGCGTTCTTCGATCTCATTAGAGTTGGAGTAAGAAGATTTAAAACCCGATACTAATAAATTATTGCATTTAAACCCAACTAACATATAACCCTATAACAGAGATAAAGACGACTCGATGCTATAAGTTGACTAATGATTGTTGTTCAACGAGGGTGTGATGGTAACAATTCATACAATTCAAGGGAGCTTTTTGCAATTTTGCAAAAGAAAAGGGGAAAAAAAGAAGAAAATGATGCCTTGAAGCCCTCTTTGGTTATAATTTGGATGATCTTTTGGCTATTTGGGTGTGTTTCTTTGAATATTCCTTTGTATACTATGTTATGTCACTATTATACTCCAACCTTTTCACTTTTATTTTATTTTATTTTTTAGTACTCGACATCGACATAACACACTGTTACTTACTTTTCTTGAATTGCATCTAGGAGGGAAAACCATTTCTACAAGTCGACTCGTTACATTAACACATATACTCTCGATTCATATATCAGAAGTTCAATTCGAATCTTTTCATTCCCACGTCCATTCACAACTCACCATGGTGGTCATTACCTAACATAAAACTCAAAATCTACTATGTAAGCTACCATGTCGATCTCCCCTCTTAACACATTACCAACGAAGAACTCGAACTCAAACCTTACAAATCTTACTAAAAATAATATTGATTTTTCAAACAAATACAAACATTTGAAAGTCAATTCAAACTAACCCATGATGACTGAAAAATGTGTTGTACATATCGATAATAGGGTTCGATGAAACTCTCGAGCACGGGTTGAGTGAGCAGTGTTGACTATGCTAGAGGATCCTTTAGCTGCCATTGGCGATGGTAGCCAAGACTGATGACCTATCATAAATTTGGCAAATAAAACATGAACTTCTTAGAAGGAACTCAAAGGAACTCACTTGAAGTATTCCCACCTGTTGAAACGGCCCCTTCTGATTTCTTATTACAAAATTTCTGTAATCAGATATGATTTCTTAACATGCTATTGAACAAAGATCCAGTTTCAGGATTTCAAGTTCAGCAGCAGGAGGATTCGTCAAGCCTGGCTTCATTGACATTTTGCGTGCCATGGCGACAACGTTCATCCTTCTTCGCACTGCTTAACATATGAACATCAACATTTTCATCACCAGACCACTTCAAGCTCTGAAAAAACCACCACAGATTAAATCAATAGAAAAAACAACTTGATCGAGTGCATATACTCCTGCATTTCCAGATTTGGGAGTGTTGTCCGTACTATTACTGCACTGGGTGACGAGCTCGGAATGTAGAATATCCGCGGGGCGATCGTTAAAACTGAAGATATAAACTTTGGCTGTTTTCCTTTACCCAGGAATCAGAAAACAGGATGGTTTTTCTCTAGACCTCTAATATTGTTTTCTCAGGCAACCATGTCGTAAGAATATGGTAGAAAAAGACATAAGAGAGATGCATATCAGATGAACAGATAAGACTTCTTCTCTTCCTTCAAAAGGTTTTGCAAAATTACCTTAAAGGACTAACGACCCAACCGGTAATCGGATTTTGCCTCCGGACTCTAAATTTCTTAGTCGAGCCACTTTGTAATCTGTCAAGAACAGCGTATGTAATCGAATCTGGTGTTAGTCCCTGCTGTTTAAGCTCTGCATACAGATCAACTGCTTCAGCAGTTCTCCCAGTTCTTTCAAGACAGTCAAGTAGTATGTTGTACGTTACGATATTTGGACAGCATCCTTGAGCTATCATTTTATCGAACAAGCTGCGAGCCATCTCGACTTTATCGGTCTTCCCAAAACATTCAATGAGCGTGCTGTACGTTACAACATCGGGAGTCAGTCCCTTCTCTCGCATCTCTAGAAACCTCATGTGTGCTTCATCAACATCCCCGTTTTTCCCATGGCAATTGATCAAAGAATTGTAGGATATAATATCTGGTTTACAACTACTATTCTCAAGTTCTTCAAAAACTTGCACAGCCTCCTCAACTTTACCAACACGTCCTAAGCTCGATATAAGAATATTATACGTGAATACATCAGGCAATGGCCCATCTTGTTTCATCTTCTCATAAAGATCATGAAGATGACTTACTTGCTTTAACTTCCCCAAAGTAGATAACACCATGTTATACATCATAGTATCAGAACTAATTCCCTTCTCGTGAACCTTACCGAGCAGATCGATAGCTTCTACAGTTTTACCTGCACTGCATAAGCTCTCCAACATGGAAATATAAGCATCTCTATCTCCTCTATCATGAAAGCTCCACATGTTGCAAAAAAGACGATGAGCTTCATTCGCATGCCCTAGTTTGCTTAGAGTCCTAACGAGATATGCATATATCGATTTGTTCATAAATTTATTGGACATTTCCAGAACTTCATCCAATCTACCACACTGTCCTTCAGCAACCAAAACATTCAAAATGACACTGTAGGTAAACTCATTAGGCCTACAATTGTTCTTGATCATATTGGAAAAGAGAAGAATTGCCTTGTCAACCATTCTACTCTTAGAAAGTGCCTCAATCATTGTATTATATACAATCAAATTTGGAGTACAGCCATTTTTTAGCATTTCTTCAAAAAATGCCAACGATTCTTCAGTTCTACCCCTTTTTCCAGTCATTCTAATCATAACAGTATATGTATACACATCAGGATTACAGTGCTTCAATTTCATATCCTTAAAAATTTTGTAAGCTCGATCAAGCTGTTAAAATACAACAAAAAAATTGGAATAGAAGAAACAAATGAACAACTATTTCATACAGAATCAAGCATTAAAAATGGTTTCAATACTATGAAAACAAACCTGTTCATCCTTAGCCAGAGCATCCAGCAGCATGTTGTAGGCAAAGATATCCAACTTAAACCCTCGATTCCGCATTTCCATATAGACATTGAAAGCCCCATCTGAATGATGGGACCTTACATGAGCTTGAAGCAGACACCTATAGGTGTAAGCATTGAGCCTCAAGTCCCATTTCTTGATCAAACCTAAACATAATTCCAAGTCCTCTTTGCGGCCAAAAATTCCAATCAAGATATTAACGGTAGAAATCGTACCACGTATTTGGTCTCTTTCCATCTGCGACAGAATCTCACGAACTTGATCGAACCGTTTCGGGGAAGACGAATGGGAGAGTATGAGAAGGATACGGCTGTAAGTGAAGACATCGTGTCGAAACTTAGGGCAAAGGGAAGGGCAAAGCTGGAAGAATTGCAGAGCGAGATCGGGGTTTAGGGATCTGAGAATTTCAGAGGCTTCGGCAGGTGTTAGAGAGATGGAGAGAGATTGAAAGTAGGAGGATAAATCGGTGAAGCGATCATCAACTGTGGATGAAGAGGAATGGCGTTTGCGATCGAGGAGTATCTGAATGGCTCGGCAGATGAGATCTCGACGAGGAAGAGAGTAGCCGCGGGGGTCGATAGGAAGAGGAGCTGGCGAAGTGACTTCGACGGAAACGGAGCGTCCGGTGGGCGAAGAAGAGGTGATTTTGGCGGTGTATTTGGTGGCGAAATGACGATGTGAGGCGGCGGTGGCGGAGGGTTTGAGGAGACTGTAATAGTAGAGGCGGAGCACCTTCATCGCCGCCGTGTTTGTGGCGCTGGTTGGCTCGAACAGCGAACTTTGCCACACCTTTCTAGCAATGTATTTTTTGTTGATATTATTATTCTTATTCTTAATTAATTTTATTATAAAAAGTATAAATATAGAAAATTGAAAAATATAAACTAACATTTGTGAACTCAAAAAAAAAAAAAAAAAAAAAAAAAAAAAAAAAAAAAAAA